AATAAAAATAAAATAAAATGGAGGGATATTATATATTCTAAGAATGATTTCTGTGAAGATTTTTGTTCTTCAAAAAAATTGAAAATCCCTTCTCACAAATGTGCACAGTGCAGAACAATTTGCGTGAAAACAAGTGATATAGATCAAATGAGCATTAACAGAGTTTACTATTATGTTGAATGGGTTAGTAATAAAGTGAAGATAACAAGGTCTTGGATCAAATTCAAGTACCCAAATCTTACTAGTTTCCGTTTAACTTCCTTAGAACTCAACATTTACATTTATAACTCAAAATCTTCTCTTTAATCCTTGTATGTTTACTTTTTCATTTTTTTGTGTGTACACATACATCAAATTTTCCATAACCATTGCAGTAAAATAGGTTTCCTTATTTTATTTGCATCTATCAATTTAGAATGTGTGCATTCTAAAGTAATTTTCTTGGTTTTTACATTACTGCATCATTGTCCCTGCAAAAACAAGTAATCAGGGAACGAATAATTTCAATGGAATTAAATAATTAGAAATAAGGGAGAAAAATAAAGCTTAAAAGTTCTTAAACTAGTACAATTTTCCCCTTCTTATGATTTTCAGGGTGAAATTTCTCCCTTCCTCCTTATAATTTTGCGTGAATTATATAATGTTATAAACCAACTGGGAAGAACGATTTTTTTCTGTAGTGTGACACAATGATGCTGGTTCATAAAGGCTAAAAAATAGTATGGTAAGTTGATTTTTAACTTACTAAGAGCTGGGTGGTTGTCTATAATCTGTATTGGAACGGTCTGCACATCTCCCAACAATATCTCATGGACACTTCCTTCCAGATTCCCTGTATCCTCGACATCTCCAACTTCCATCAGCTGGTCCACTGCCACTAGAGTTTGATCTGGTCCTTGGAAGTTACCCCCAGTAGACACAGTACTATTGTTTTGGGTTAGGCATGTATCTGTTGGAAGGCTAGGACTTTGACCACGCAGTAGAGAATTATTGTCCATTGAAGTACTTTCTATTGAATCCAGAAGTCTTGAAGGACTAGAGGAGGGGTGGTTATTTACTGATAACAGAGGTGACCCATCTGGAGAGGTGAATCTTGATTGTAACTGCAAACCCTTTGAAAAAGAACAGTTACGTCAAAATGTTTGGATTTACTACACATGATATTCTCATAGGATATATTATTCTTTTTTTTTTTTTTTTGAGATAGGGTCTTGCTATGTACTTCAAGCTGGTCTTGAACTCACTACGTAGCACAGGCTGGCCTTAAACTTGTGGCAATCCTCCTGCCTCAGCCTCCCAAGTGCTGGGATTACAGACATATGTCACCACGCATGGTTATTTTGACAAAATCTTGGAAGAAATAAAGTGCAAGTGTATAAAAAATATTAAACGCAGATAGAAACAACCAAAGTAAAAGTAGTACAATTAAATTTTATTGCTTTCACAGTTAACATCAAACATTTTAAAAATAGTTTGAATTATCATTTTAAGACACAAAGCAATCAGGAAATTAATAATAAAGAAATATTTGATCATTACTGTAATTCTGTAACAATTCTCTAAAATACCTAGAAGAAGAGGGTGTTTGAGGAAGAAGAGCCCCAAATTCAGCTATTTTACTGGAGACCTACCTGTAGTTGTGTAAATATTTTGGGCTGAAATGAAGAAAGTGAGGAAAGCAAGTGAGTTGGCTCTGGAGACAAAGAAGTCCCTGTCTGATTTGTTTCCACTTTGGTGGGAATTGATTCTCCTGGTGAATTTCCTAAATTACATAAAATACAACTATTAAAATTATTTTATGGCTTCTAGGACACTACTTTATTACAATCCTTTCAATCAGAACTTGTGGAAAAAAGATCAAAGGTTTGAAAGAATTTCAAGAAATCACCAGCCAAAAAAATGTCATCTAGTCTACTATTTCCAAACCTGGCAGGTAATCAGACTCTCTAAGGAAACCGCAAAAAAATATAAATTCCTAGCCAGGTGTGGCAATGCGCACCTGTAGTCCCAGCACTCTGGGAAGCTTAGGGAGGAGGATCACAAATTTAATCTAGGTTGAGCAACTTAGTGACTTAGCAAAAACTGTCTCAAAATAAAAAGTAAAAAGGGTTTAGAATGTAGTTTATGAAAGTCCTGGGTTCAATCCCTAGTACTGTCAAAAACAAAATTGTTTTTTGATTCCTAGGTTCAACATCCTCCCCACTCCAGTGGATTACAGTAGAACCCACAGCATTGAGCATGCTGGGCAAGTGCTCTACCACTGAGGTATACTCCTATTTGCCAACCTCTACTAATTTTCATTCTGTAGATCTGGAATAGGATTCAGGAATATATTTTTTCCTTGAAAGACTCATCTCTGTGACTCTAATGTAGTCTATTCTCCATGTTATAGTGCCAGACTATACCTGAACCTTTCCTTTTTTTGGTTTTGGGGATTGAACTTGGGATATTGTGCTTGCAAGGCAAGTGGTGGAACCACTCAGCTAAATCCCTGGCCCCCTGAACCTTTCTTGATGAGTGAAACTTATTGAACTTCTCAATTACAAAAGCCAAACTTTTTTTTTTTGAGACAGTGTCTCGCTATGTAGTTCAGACTGGCCTTGAACTCACTATGTAGTCCAGTCTGGCCTTAAACTTGTGGCAGTCCTCCTGCCTCAGCCTCCCAAGTGCTGGGATTACAGGTATGCAACATCATGCCCAGCCACAAAGACCAAATTTAATTCAATGTTTTTACCTCTTACATCTACAAGAATCCCTGGCAAAAGTAGGTCTTCAATAACAACACATTAAATGTCCTTAACTGGTTTTGGAACAAATGAGTAAAAGTAAAAAATTCTTTTTTCTTATCTTATCTCTTAAGGTAATTGTCCTTTGGGAATCTGAGTCATTCTTGTATAAGTCTTGGTTTTTTTCAATGCTGGGGATTAAACCATGGCCTTTGCAATGAATTATATTCTCAGCCCTTTTTTATTTTGAGACAGAGTCTTGCAAAGTCATTAAGTTGTCCAGAGTGGACTCCAACTTGTGATCCTCCTGCTTCAGCCTACTAGAGTGCTAGAATTATAGATGTGTACCACCACACCCAGCCCTATTCTTTTGCCAATGTTGCTGAGCTCAATAAACACCACCATCAGTTGACTCCTCCCAGCAGAAATTCAGATGTCATCTTAGATCATTCCAATTCCTTTACTCCCCACCTAACACCAATCAATTTTAGTTTATGTGGTGCCAGAGCGAGCACCACCCAGTCAATAACCAAGGTGTCTGAATTCTATTTTTAAAATAACTCTTAATTCTAGTATATATGCTACCAACTGTTGTCTAAACCACTAACAACTTTTTCATCTGTATAGTAAAATGGCTTCTCAACTGTTTTATTTATCTAGTTTTAATTCCAAGCAACTGTCTATGCTAAATTCACACTTCCTTAAACACGACAAGATCTTTCATGCTTGGTTTTCATAAGTGCTATTCTTTTGACTGGAAAATTCCTATTCATATTTAGTTCTTAGTTTACAAGTGGAATTTTCACATGTCACATCCCTACTCCCTGGTGTATTATGTGTCTCTATATAACTATCCTGCACAATTTTGCACAATTCTCCCATGATACTTTTCACAATACCAATTAGAATATATTTGTTTAATGGTTTTTTCTTGCTAAACTTTAAGTTTCATGAAGTAGAAACTTACCCATTCTTTTCTATCCTCAGCATTTAGCACAGTTAATTGAATAAGCATAATGAATAATACTAAAGTGCTTAAAAGCTATTTTTAGATAAAGTGACAGGTTAATAAGTGGAAGAATTAAAAACTATACTGTACAGTTGTTCAAATGATTCTAAAGGATTTATTTAGGTGTTAACATTTTAGCAGGCTTTATCCTGGGCACTAGTTATGTTAATATGAATAAAATATAATCCTTGCCTCTGAAGAGCTCAAATAAGGTTACCATGTTAAATGGGGCAATGATTAGCTTCTTTAATATAAGAGATGAAGTTAAGATAGCACTTAAAGGGCCAGGGATTTATCTCAGTGGTTTCGATGCCTGATGTGCAAGCACAAGCACAAGGACCCAAGTTCGATCCCTGGTACCAAAAAAAAAAAAAGAAAGCACTTAAAATCAGAGATTGCTATCTGAGTAATAAGAGCCGGCCTTGTAGAATAAAAGACATTTCCAGAAGACAGAACACATACAAAAGGGTTGAAATAAGTTGGAAATATTGAGAGAATATATGAGTAGGAACTATGAAAAAAAGCAAGCAATACAAAATAGACAATACCAGATTTAGCCAGCTCTCTTGTTCATTATGGTAGTAATCAGCATAAAAATTTCAGCTATAAAAAAGCACAAAAGTTGAATATAGGAGAAATTTAAACACCTAGGAAGATTTTGATAAGCCCTAACATAGGTGCCTCCTTGGGTCATGGCTTCCTTATCTATAAAATTTGATTAAATGATTATATATTAAATACCTTTCAGTTTTCACATTGTTTGATTTGATATTTTATAGGTATTTGAGATAACCTACCTTCTGCAAATGTAACCGTCACAGTCTCTCTCAGAATATTTCCACTATCTGTAGTCCACTGAAGCTGAAATGGGAACACTCATTTCAGTAAAAAAAAAAACCAGTTTACATGAAAGACAAATCTTAAAACATCCTGTATCATATTTTATTATCATATTATTCTTTATTCTTTTTGCTCATTCTCAAAGCACAGCAATACCTCAGTAATCCAAATATATTAGGTTTCTGAGTTCAGATAGTAAGAATTTGGGTATCAAGTATAGAGGGCAATAGTCATTATTAACTAGATCTATTTTATTTTCTGAATTTTGAATAGTGAATAATTAAGGAGTTCTGGACAGCAAAAAATAGCAGCTCTAGCTTTAAAAAATTCAAACATAGTAAGTGAATTTGGATAGTAAAATTAAGAAAGCAAAGAATATTGCTTTTCAGAATTTAATGCTATAATCACTACTTGTATTATTGGTAGTAGTTTCTGGGTAATCATAGTAAAATCTTAGAAATTTTCTTAAAACTTAGGTGGAAACTACAGCATTGAAGTATGAGGTAATACTGATATTCATATCTAGCATTTGGAAATCAACATCATCACTCTGTGCATTTAAGTCTGAACAATTTAACTGTGGCCATCTAATTTTTTTAAAGGGATGGAGCAAGCTGAGGATATAGCTCAGTGCTAGAGCACTGCTTAGCACTTTCAAGGCTCTGTGATTGACGCCTACCATAAAAAAAAAAAAGGTAGGTGGGAGCCAAATATGGTGACACAGCAGCCTTAGTCCCAGCACTTGGGAACTGAAGCAAGAGGATCACTTAGGCCTGGGAATTTAAGATTTTAAGATCAGTCTGGGTAACATAGTAAGTAAGTTCCTGTCTCAATCAATAAAAAATAAAGGGAGGGAGGATTAATTTGTACTCAGTAAACATCTGCTAAGTGAATAAGAAATAACATCTATAGAGAAAAATATTGATTTTAAAGAGAAGACTAGAATTTTGATTTTAGTCAGATTTAGAAATTCACTATTTCTCCTTTTGACAATAAAATTTAAATCATCTAAAATTTCATAGTATTTACATTTTAATGGCAATTTGTCGTATTTCTTATATAAGTTATTCTGATGCTTTAATAGTAGCTATCTCTATTAGTCCAAATATTAATAGAAGCTAAGAAAGATTCTCTAATAAAGCAAAGAATTGTGGTTGTAATCATACCGTGGCTGGAATAATCTCTGAGTTATACACCGTATCTCCATTTTGCAAGGATTTCTGTACCTCATGGATGTGATTTTTTATATCATTTACAGTCGGAAAATAAGACAAATTATGTCTTTCAGGTATTTCATCAGGTTTGAACAGTTCTCTTTCCACAAATTTTCTGTAAAGGGTACAAAACAGAAAAACATAAGCCACCTAGTTAATATACTTGTAGATCAAAAGACAGAAAGTTTCTCTTTTATCATAAACTTAAGTAAAGTAGGATTTACAGCTCCTAAAAAAAAATTTTTTTTTTTGAGACAGGGTCTCACTATGTAGTTCAGGCTAGCCTTGAACTCACTATCTAGTCCAGGATGGTCTTGATCTCAGGGCAGTCCTCCTGCCTCAGCCTCCTGAGTGCTGGGATCACAGGTGTGTGCCACCATGCCCAGCTTTTCTATTCTTAATGAACCTCATTTGAAATAGTCTGAGTAAGTACTTTAGTTTAGGATTATTAGTAAACAGTAGATGATTTTACCAAATTTACCAAATTTTGGCTTCGTTTTAAAGATTCTCCAATGGAAATAAGTATAAAATGTCTAAGAAAGTAGATAAATAGAAAAATCACATATTAGTTAAAAAACAATTCTAGGAAGTATTCATTTTATTGTTCAGATTATACTGCATAATAGCCAGTAGGAGCAAGATGAAGTACTAGAAATCATAGGAGCATGCGAAGGGTGTAGAATTAGGTCTAAATTTCAGTTTTGACTCTGCTTTTTAGGCCCATTATTTAACAACTCTGAGTTTCCATTTTCTCATGTGTAAAATGGGATAAGTACACCACCTTTATACAGCTTTTGTAAGACTAAAAAGAAGATAGTATATGTAAAGAACTTGGCACAGGACACGGCACAAACACAGAAAGTGTCACCAAATAATAATATTAAAATTATTTTACATTTAAAAATCTTAAATTATCAATTATAACAAAAGAATTTGGATATGCCAGGGATTTAGCTCAGTGGTTCCACCGCTTGCCCCACAAGCGCAAGGAACCGAGTTTGATCCCCGGTACCAAAAAAAAAAAAAAGAAAAAAGAAAACAGAAAAGAAAAAAAATTTTGGATAGTTCTTTGTTTAATGAAATTTTATTTGTAGTACTCTGGTCTAAGTTTTTTGCTGCTCAATATTTATTACTGTTATATATAATACATGCAAATATATTTAATAAAATATAAAAATATGTACTATATGGTATTATTGCAGTAAATATTTTAATTACTGAGAATCAATAAAATTAGACCAGAGTACCACAAATACAATTTCATTACACAAAGAACTCTCCAAATGTTTTTGTCCTAATAAATTTAAACACTTTTCAAATAATATGAAATAAGTATCTTGAAATGTTTGGTTCTACAAAAGTTATTCTCTAAAGATATTTATCACATAATTCAATTCATACACCATTTAGCAACAGTCCAATGTGCCAAATATGGAATTTCCCAAATGAGTAACAAGATCATAATAAATCATATTATGGAACGGTTTATTTGTTGGAAGTATTTGCTAGAAAATTATCGATTTGTAAATAAGATTCTTATAATACACTAATAATCTATATTCCTTATTTATTCTGATAGCATACATCCTGAAAAATATCTGTAAAATATTAAGTGTATTGTTTAAACCAATAAGCAAAAATCAAAAACGTAAAACACAATTTGCTTCTACTGTACCTTAGCTGTTTCCTCACTGCATATACTTGTTCTATGCCCTGTGATACTAACTCTTGAATCTTATGTGCTACTTGAGGGTGTAAACGTGAGGGTAATGTACAATTCTCATCTCTGACTGTAGTTTCCTCTTCTTCAAGAGAAGAAATAGGAAAAAGGGAAGGTGACAAAGGGAGGCAAGTCGTCTCTAATTCATGATACTGATGAGCTTGCTGAGTAGGTAACTGTACATACCACCTGGTAAGAGAAAATATTTAAAACTATTAAAATTTAAATATTAAAATTATAATATTACTAGACAAGGGCTAGAATCATAATTACTTAGGTTAATATTCAAGAGAAAGAATAAAATTTTAAGAAAAAATATTTTGTTATATTTAATAAAATTTAAAATGCTCTTGAGTTAACTCTTCTAATACTGACTTTACACCCAATTAAATATGAATCTTTATAAACCTTTATAGATTTCATTATGGTTCTAAAGTTAAAGGTGAGGTAGGGATTTAAGAATGCCTGAAAAGGGTATTTTACATTTTGTATTAAGTAAATTTTATTACAAAATAAAGAGACAATATTGTAAATCATCATCTTTTGAATTTTCTCATTATTTCCCCCACATTATATATCTGTGATGCAACTACCACCTTCCAACCCAATGGATTACCATTCAGAGCCTGTCATGTTGAGCCATATATGGAAGAATCTTCTCTAACAGGAGCTCAATATATTGCCTGTAAAGCATTTCTGCTCCCGCTGGCCCAGTTATCAAGAAAATTAACTAAAGATGAAGACAGGTCTCTTGGACAGCAGAACAGAAAACACATCAAGAAATGAACTGATCTGGTAGAATACTGAGTTAATAAAAAATTATTTTAATGCCTGATATGAAATAAAATGGAGGCTGTGCATTGAAGGATCTAATTACTGCCTCAATTCATTTTTTATACACCTAAAAGTTTCCATTAAGGATCACACAAAAACTATTTTCCCTACATATGACCTCATTATACAATAATAAGTTCTTACCCAGAATGAACATAAAGCAAAATACACAAGAGAGCTAGTATTTCTTCCTATTTAAAATGTGAGCATAAAATGGAATTTTATTAAGAGTTACAGTTCATTTCTGGATGTTACAGTAATCAAAGATAGGTTTAAAAAACACATGTGGCTGAAAGTTCTGCTAAGTATCTGAAACAAAGCACTATGTATATAATGTGTTGATAAATATGTATTTGTCATTTGGGAAAAAGCCTTCTACATACTGTATTACTTATTATATTTGGCATATATATATAGTGTAATTCTTCAGTTGAATAATCTACAATCTTTGGATAATAAACTCAATAATTTATTCAGTGACAAATAAATTTAGTGCTAGTGAGATAGCTACCTTATAAACCATTTTAATGAAATAACTGAAAAACTTAATTATAATTTCTCTTTCAAAAGAATTCTTACATATGGGGCTAATTATCTGTAAAGTAAAACAATTATAAAAATGTCATACCTAAGAACACCACCAGCATCTACCAAGTTCTTCTTTAACATGTTAAAGGCTTTTTCCTGTTCCATTCTGATTATTTTCTTATCAATTTTGGGGTCTGTGGGTACTCTATATTCAGGAAACTTCTGCACCTTTTTAATGTAAATCCTTTATGCAAGATAAAGAAGAATTTCTTTCATTATATTATAATCTCAAGAAAAATCTATCAACCAAAGTGTACTTTAAACATTTAAGTTTATAGAAACTTCTATTGAGAAAGTATTCAGAGGCATATGCAAGATAAGCCATAGTCTCAGTGTATAATACTTAGCAAATTAACAATAAATCTCCTTTTTTCTTGTTTTTTTTGAGGCGGGGTCATGCTTTGTAGTTCAGGCTGGCCTTGAACTCACTGTGTTCCCCAGGCTGACTTCAAAGTCGAAGCAATCCTCCAGCCTCAGCCTCCCAGGTGTTGGGATTACAGGCACATGCCACCACCTGGTGATAATTTTAACTTGAATAAAAATATCTAAATACTGTATTTATGGATTACTCTTCTGAATTTGCCTCTTCTCCATTTCCCTGGAAGCTGTAATCTCTTCTTGCCTGGATTAAGAGCTTTCTTCTAGGCTGCTATGGCTTCAATCTTCTATTACATAAATTCACTTGCTATGTCAAGCCCACAGTGCTGTTCCCATTCACATACTTCTGTGGAAGCCTCCCTTTTACAGTCAAGTATGAGTTCCTTGGGAGCATTCAAGGTATTCCATATGATTCTAACCTAATCTCACTTCAAATATAAAATTTTTCTGTGAATTTCAGTTTTTTAATGTCCCATCTTCCTGTGATATCAAATATGTAGTTGTCCAAAATTTTTATTTATATGGTTATCCTAGACTACTATATCTTCCCTCTAACTCTCTATTTAAATTCAACCTAAACTTCAGAACCCAGGTTAACTTGTGCTTTCTTTCCTGGTAGGAGTTTGCATGGATATACTCTTTTCCTGAACATCTGTAACAGGTAGCTAATCCACAGGTTTTGTACTATGTACTATACTATCATGTTCTCTACTAGGTTTTGTTTTCTGATCTTCTGCAACAATATTTCACATCACCCAAGATTAAGTAATATATCATTTCTCTTGGATATCCTTTCTTCCTGTGGTATACAACATAGTTTCTGGGCACAGAGTAGTGGACACTCAAAAAGTACTTGCAGAATGATAGAGGATAAAATTAATTATTCACATATAGAAGTTTTCTCCCATTTTATAACTAGCATTTTTATATTGCTTATATGTAAAAAGCAGTTGAAAGTTTTATCCTAAAGGTTTAAATATTGCCTAAAGTTAACATTATTAAATTAACTATGAAAAGCATCTGAATGGGCTTTTAAAACTTTGGAAGAATTTGTTGATACTTGTGATATGAGATGTAATACTAAAATGTAATGTTTTAAGTTTAAATCCAATCATTTTTGTATTATCTTTTGTTTGCTTTGATAGAGACAGGGTCTTGCTATGTTTCCCAGGCTGGTCTAGAACTCATGGGCTCACATAATCCTCCAGCCTCACTCTCCCAAGTATAAGGGACTACAGGCACAGTCTGTGGGACTGTAGGTGTGATCTTCTGAATTTTTATGTTATTAATAATTTTAAATATTTTCAGTATTTGAAAGAAGACTATCAGTAAAGAATATTTTAAAAATCTTTCATTGGTTTCCATTTTTCATTCCCACCCAGTGTAATGACTAACTACACTGTAGTCCTTTCTAGGAGTTGCTGATGTGAATATAAATAGTAAAACTGCTTTAAAAAGCAACTTTGTAATACTTCCCAACATTTAACAAGGATGTAACCATTGCTCTACCATCAACTTCATTGCTAGGAGTTTATCTTACCAGCAAACTTGGTAAGTGTAATATGTACAATGCTACTATGTACAGTTTTTTATACAGTGATAAAGAACATTTTTCACAGCTTGTGCCACTAGAGGATTAATTAAATGCTAACTGTTGTTATTGTTTTGTCACATTCTGGGCACCCCCACATCCTAGTTTGTGCTGAGCACTGTTGAGAGTCAGAACTCTACTAGAAAGCATTCAGAGAGTTGTCACTCCAAGGCCATCCACACTTGTGGTGCCATTACCACTAGTTTTGGTTTATCCCTCTTAAATTTCTTTTATTTATTTATTTGGTACTGGGGATTGAACTCGGGTCCTTGCGCTTGTGAGGCAGGTGGCGGAACCACTGAGCTAAATCCCCAGCCCTTGACCCGAATTTGATCCCCGGTACCAAAAAAAAAAAAAAAAAGAGCAGAGGGCCTGGGATATGGTTCAGTGGCACAGTGCTGCCTGGAAAGTGTGAGGTCCTGAGTTTGATTCCTGGTACAAAAAATAAATAAATAAAACTTTAAAAAATAAAACTAAGCAGATATTCATATAGTTTCTTATATCCTTTACTTTAAAACACACAACAGACACTGTTATGCACTTTGTTTTTCTTGTTTAACAGTGGGTTGTGGCATGAAGTCATGCCATGTCAGCTTGGAGCTCAGCCTCTTTTCCACAGTTGCAGAGCACTCTGCTGCATAGACCTGTCCATTTATACAAGTGCTCTCACAGGTGAAGGAGTTTAGGTTGCTTCAATATTTTATAACTACAAAGAACACTGCAATAAATAACACTGTACAATGGTATTTATATACAATAGAGCATTACTTTGCCATAAAGGATAAACTTGGGTCATTTGTAGGAAAATGGGTGTACCTTGAGACCATGATGATAAGTGAAATAAATCAGACACAAAAGCTTGAATATTGTGTGGTTTCTCTAATACAAGAAACTCAAATTATAAATAAAGAGAAAAAGAAAAGATAACAGGAAGTAAGGAGATCTTTCTTTCTTTTTTTCTTTCTTTTTTTTTTGAGATAGATCTTTCTTAAATGGGAAGGAGATCAAGAAATGCAAGAAGGGGAAAGGGAAGGGAGGGAAAGGGGATGAAAAGAGGAATGAAGATGTGTTGTTTACATGTATCAACTCCACACAAGGAACGTAAATGTTATGTACTGCAAACATGTACTAATAAAAAAAATTCCAAGATCTTGGGAAGGAGATGTTTTGAGCCTCAATGTATGTGCCCCATCCAAATAAACGTGTTCTGAATCCTTTATCCTACTGATAACATTTTCTTCAAGTGTGCTTCTGAGAAACACTGTCCATACAAAAAATACTCTGATGGTTCAGTTTGGCTTGGTGATAAAAACCATTAATAAATGCAATATATGTACCATTTTTATAGCACAATGAGAAATATCATAGAGATCAAATAATGAACAAACTACAGATAGGAGCAGTTGGTGCTAACCTATGGACATGGTAATTGCGTGTAGCAGGCACATGCAAGTGGACCCAAACACAGGAAGTATATATGAAGGGTGTTAGGGAGAATCCAACCAAGCAAGGACTCCCACTTCAGTAAGAAAACAGAGGGCCTTCAATGAAGAAAACTGGAGACTAAGAACTATTTACCGTCCACAGGCCAGAGGTACAAAAGGAGACCTACCGCGGCCAGGCTCAGCTGAGTTGACTGTCTCTACTGATGAGGCCCTGAAAAGGCTCACCACCACTAGGACTGTGGCCCAAGAAGGACGTGCCCTGGGTACTCCTCCTCCTCCTCTTAATCTCACATCACCATCCTTCACTAGCAAAAGGGCAAGCAGGGAAGGCATCCTGCACCCTTTTCCCAATTGTGCCTAGAAGGGGAACTGAGTAAGGGCCAACAAGTCCAGACACACGGAACACTAGCATTTTGTTCAGGGCTTTACACTTTGTATACAGCAAAACTACCCCAGATATAGTGCCTGAGCATTTTGATACTTATAATGTTTAAACAATCCACAGGCAACTCTGAAAACTATCTGGGCTGAGACCTGCTGCTCTAAGTGCTGCTTAGTGAGCTCTGTGATCCTGCAGGACCACTATTCTAAGGCATTCAGGGGAGCTTGAGCAAGCACTGGCCAGTACAGAAATCTGGGCTTTATTTTAGGGTAAAAAAGTTAGAAGACAACTTTTATAAGTTTAAGTACACATGTATTGGTATTCTGAGCTTTAGAGATACAACAAATGAGTTGCTGAAATTTTAAAAAGATTGCCCCGCCTCCAGCCCAGGCTCCTAGGGCAGAGAAGCTCAGCTGGTCCCAGAACCCAGAAGGAAGCTCTGCTGCCATCCTAGCCTCCTAGGGCAGAGAAGCTGAGCCGGTCCCAGCACCCGGAAGGAAGCTCCCTAGGGAAGGTGAGCCTCATGGGTGCCAAAAGCACCCCCCCCCAGCCCTGTGGAAATGAGAAAACATATAAGCAAGCCTCAAAAACAGAGAGTTCCAGATCACCTACAGCAACCCCAAAGGGAAACGAGATGGAACAATCTGATACTCAACC